GGGACCAGTCGCCTGTTACTGGATGACTCGAGCGGCCCTGTAACCTTCAATCGACCAATGCCCTGGGTAGATGGTGGGGCGCACAACGCCTGACGCTGGTGCCTGGGTGTGAGGAGCACTGAAAGCGCTTGTTCATTCATTCACGTGGAGTAAAGCGATACATGGAAGGAGCTGAGAATAGACCGTGATGGCGGTGCACGACCCGAAATATCCTGCAATATCGACATGAGGAAAACAGGGGAAGACTGGCACCTAAGGAGAAAAACAAACAAGGCAATAAACAAATAAGCCAGTGGCCAAGGTCATGCAGAGCAATTCACAGGGGTGAAGTATATTAATACTATGTAATTCCATCATTGGTTCATAAGGCGTCATCACAGCAAGGCTGCTTTCAGTAATTCTTTCCTTAGCCTCATGAAGCCTCAGGTGATATTTACTCTGCAGTCTCACATCGGCCACCAAAGGCTGCCCTTCTCTGACCAGGCAACTGTTTCTACAGGAATAAAAAACTTAATCTTAAAGGGAGCTGGCGTTCGTGGACACATTCAAAACACTGTTAGATCTCATGTAAATTCAATACATAAGTAATACATATATTTATGCAAGATTAACTGACACGCTGTACGAGACAAAATTAATGCTATTGTTAATGTGAAATTAAAATACAGAAGGAAAAATATTATTTCTGCTAGACAGTCTTATGGACTGAGCATCACGGAAAAAAAAAACAAAAAAGACCAAAAAAAAAAAAAAGGACAGATTTCCTTTGCCATCAAAGTTAAATCCCGACATTTTTTGAGCATATGAATTACATGGAAATATTTACAGGAGATGGAAATGATCTTACATAAAATCTTATGAATACGAATTTTACAAATCTGCTGCTGTATGCAACCACTCCTGTAGGGGGTGCTGAACTAAAGGCTTCCTTGCCCCCTGTGTTCACTCCCCATCCTGCTCCACTGTTGTGGTCCCTCCATTGTCCCCTCTAAATGGACTGCATTTATATAGCACTTTTCTACTCTTACGAGTACTCAAAGCGCTTTACAATTCATGCAAGGTGCCAACCTGCACACCGGGAGTAATTTGAGGTTCAGTGTCTTTCTTTAGGACACTTTGATGGAGTTAGGAGGAACTAGGGCTCGAACCTGCAACCCTCCAGTTGCCGAACAATAGCACTATATCCTACGCCACCATCTTCCCTAGTGTCCTCAGATCCCATGTTTCCTTTTTTGGTGTCCCTGTGCGTGTCTACGTTCCCTGTCGTGAGTCGTTTGTTGTCTGAGTTAGTCTCCTTATGTTTGTTCTGTGTGTCCGTGCTGTTCCCTGTGCTGCGTTGATGTTTTTGCTTTTGTTTCCCCAGGTGCTGTTGTGTCCCCATCGCTTCTCTCCCCTTGGGTGCCTTTGGGGAGGGTGCTGTCCTGCCCCGATCGTCCGCTCCTTCTGTGTGCCACACCCTCGTTAACCTCGTGTGGAATCCCCATGTGATCAGCTGTTTCTGGTTGTTGTCTTTAGTCCTATGTATTTAGTCCGCGTTTCAGTTTGTTTCCTCAGTCTGGTCATTGTATTGTCCGTCTGCGTTTTGCCTACCTTACCCGTAATTAAACCCCGTATTTCCTGATTTTCTGTCTCTGCTCGTGTTTCCTTGGTTTAATGCATGACTCCAGCAATAAATTGGAATTTACTCAAAAGTGCAGGGGAAAGAGATAGAAGTAGGGAGCAAAAATTGAGTGGATTGGATCTTGTATCTTAATTACAGCAAATGAATTCATTTTTTGCTTGCATCTCCATATTCTAGCATTGGAGAATTCTATCAATGACCGATATACCTGTTGGTGCTGGTCATCAGGTGGTCACTGGTTCAAGCCCAGCCTCGGCACATCTGTGAGCCCTTGAGCAAGGCCCTTAACATCCAGCTCCCTGGGTGCCGCAACACGAGGCTGTCCATCACAGCCAATTTGTTCTCGTCTACAGAGATCAAGTTGGGAGGAGGCAAAAAGAGAATTTCCCCACAAGGATCAATAAAGTTTCTATTATTATTATTGAAACTTGCCAGTACTTATTCGCAGAATAACATTTCATCATTTTTTAATTCTGTGGCAAATGAAAATCGATCTGCGGGCCAGACTGAATAAGAATTATAAACATGTCGCAGGTGAAATAAATGAAAGACTGCATCCTAGTCTGAACCAATACTGGATGCAACACACGCATCCAGTATCTTTCACTCAACAATGGCTGTGAAGAGCCCCTCGAAAAGCGTTCAGACCGTGCGGTGATACAGGTAACTTCTGCAGGTCATGTCATCTTTCTCTGTGTAGTGGGAATGCAGTTGATTCTCAAGCACCGAGTCGGCTGTGAGAGTTAAACAGGATCTATCCATGGGGGGAAGCTCGCCCGCGGTTTCATCAGCAATGGTTTCCAGAAATAGAAAGTCTGTGGTGTACGACTGTCTCACAGTGTTATGTCAGTCTGAGGGAAGGGGACATACGAGATGCTTAGGGCTGCAGGTCCACAGGCAGCCAGAAGGGGGCCCATGCAGCTGTTTGGGTGGTCACCACTGACTCATTCAGCTAGACAAGCCTATTAGTATCAATATCCTGACAATATCCAAAGTGAAGAAACATTTTCATCCACTCATACAGAGGGAAACATTTCTGCCCGTATCATGTTAAGTCTGCCTTGCTCCTGGACCTTAAACTACACCTGCCAGTGTTACAGGCCATGCAGGGAACTATCAGCTTTGCTGGTGCAGCCATCTTTCTGAAGACTGCGTGTGAAGCTGGCTTCTGGAATAGGCAGTTCTCTGAGATTTAGCATCTCATGTACCACTGGACCGACTCTGCCTCTGCAGTGCCAGTGGCTGCCCACCTACCACATGATAAATGGTTTTTGTCTTCTTATATTAGGTAATGCTTTACATTAACTGTACCTTCATAATGCATTCATACAACATTCATAGGCAGCATGTGAGTATATCTTAAGATACCTAAATACCTTTAATATGCATTAATAACAAACATTATATGATTATAATGTGTTATTTTCATAGAATGTTTGTTATTAATGTATATTAAAGCTGTTAAGGTATAATACCATGACGAAGTATACTTACACGCTGTTTATGAATGTTCTACGAATGCATAATGTAAAGCATTACCTTATATTATTAATGCTTGAAAGTCTTTAAAGCAGAACACTTATTTCAAAATGTTGATGTAAAAAATAAACTAAATGAAATGCAGCAGCATGTAACAGAAGAGGTGCAGGTCAGTCACCCTACTGCAAAGCCTCTTCACACAGGTGGGCCACAGCCAAGATGCTCTACACACAGAACCGACTACAGACCAGTGCACACAGTTTGCACGAGCGAGAAAATCTGCTTGGCCCATAATGGATGCTGACACTCCAAGTGAAAGATATGAAAAATTGCCGCTTTTCATCTCTGCAAGAGTCACACACATTATTTAGATTTATGACCAGTGCTGGGGGACAGTAAAAGCTGAGTGAATATACAGCTGGTTATCTATAATCCACTGCTGGTTAGCTGTAATATACAGCTGGTGCACACTGCAGATTACCTGTGACACACAGCTGGTTATCTGCTACAAGCTGAAGATTACCTTTGATACACGGCTGGTTATCTGCTGCACATTACAGATTACCTGTGATACAGGGGTGGTTATCTGCTATATACGGCATGGTTCTCTGCTACAAACCCTAGATTACATGTGATACACGTCTGGTTATCTGTAATATACACCCGGCTATCCGTTTCATTCGTCAGGCTATCAGGGGGTGATCTGTAATAAATGGCTGGTTTTCTGCAATACACGGCTATAGTTACCTGCCACATACTTCAGGTTAACTGCAATTAACGGATGGTTATCTGCCATACACTGCTAGTTATCCGTAATACATGGCTGGTTATATTATATTATAACCAACTTCTCCGGAATCACGAGCACATTCTCATTCCCAGATACTTTTTGTGCTGTCCCGCACAATTCGGCTCTAATATTAAATAAAACAAGCAGTAGTTTTTCGTTATATATTTCGTAGCGCAGCGCTAGCCGGAGAGTCTTTGCCGGTGCTGGGAGCCACTTCATGCCATTGCCACTTGTTTAAAAAAGGCGGCGATGGATTATTTAAAAACAGATCTGAGTTGTTTAGTCGTTTTCATACAGATTGTTTTATTTATACACCCCAGTGAATAAACTGGACGGTTGTTTCTCTGGCTATTATTTGATTTTCCCCATAAGTAATTATTTCCAAATCCATCCGGTATTCGATTTTTAGTTGTTCATAATGCAAGGCAGAATGTTTAATTAAAATGAATAATCACTGAATTTAATCAGTTAAAGACGCATTGCGATTATGGAAGTGCTTTTCAAACAAAATTACTTTTCTCTGGTGTAATGAACCGCCGTTAAACACTAAAAGAATCTGACATTCTGGAGATGCGCAGCAATAATATCTGTCACAGGTGGATGAATTTGATGTTCCGGGATCCATTAACACAAATATAACATTTTACTTGACTCATAATTCATACAATGATTCTAAAACGTTATCGGTGGCAAAAAAGAAAATTGAAAGTACAGCAAATGCATTTTGAAAATCTGTATTGCATGCTGTGATTACACACACTTCTTAGTTTAATTTTCAGTTGGGCGAGTTTAGAGAAGCGACCCAACTCCGGAGTAAATCTGATCACAGACATACAGCCTGAATGAAATAATCCAGGATTTAATTACTTAAGGTTTTAACAGGAATCTCGGAGCGGGGTCTGTCACATATAAAACTAGGGAGAAATAAACGGATTTCTTCCACCGCGGACTAAGTCAGTCTTATAATAAGATGACCCCTATCATGCTCCCATCCTCCGGCGGCCCCGTGATCCGGGGTGACCCGCAGTACTTTGGAAGTGACAGCACTTTAAAATTACAGGTGTTTTGGGTCCGGAGGTGAAGTGGCCGCTGTCGTCGCCGCTGTCTTACCTGGCCGAACACTGAGCTGAGGATCGGGTGCAGGCTTGAGTCAGACGCGGAGGACGCCGCGCTGGACCTGCCTGAGCGGCCGGAGGAGCGGCTGGAAGACGCGGGCAGCGGCGAGGACGAAGCGGGAGATGGCGTGCTGACAGCGGGCTCCGAGGCGACGCTGAGGGCCGAGCCGGGGCGCTTAGGGAGGGCCGGCGAGGGGATGCTGTGCTGACAGACTGGGAGCGGGTCCTCCTGGACAGTTTGCCGATGCTGGCGCTGCGGACGTCCGTGCGGCTTGTTGCGTCCTCTCCCTGCCCGACCAGCATCATCCTTCATCGGCAGCTCTTCCCGGCTGTCCGTGGGGGCGAACTGGTCGTGCGGATGCTGAGACTGGCTCTTACTTCCTCGCCTCGTCCCGCTGTCCCCGTCACTGACTAACCGCGGGTGGCACAGGGGTCTACGGGCGCTGGCGTCGCAGCCGGCCGGCCAGCACGTCTCCTCGGCGACGCCGCGACTCTCCGGAGCTCCGGGCCGGTTCTGGCTACGGCGGTCGTTTCCAGCGTGCTCCGGGCGCCTCGCTGACCTCCGAGTCGCCGCGGAGGGTTTCAGCAGTGAGGTTGTAGATTCACTTTTCGGGAGAGAGGAGCTCATGGTTCGGTCAGTGCAGCCGTGGGTTTGGCGGTGCCGCCCTGTCCATGTGCCGCTCCGGTGCGGCTACAGCGGTGAGGCGAAGCCGACTCGGCGCATGTTTACGGCGGGTTGCACATGTGCACTTCCCCAGAGAAGCGGCGTGGAGTTACCGCAGTATCTCTCCTGCTGGCTGCGCTGATGCTTCGTGTCTGTGCGGCTGTGCGGGGGACACAAAGCCGAGAATATCAGCGGCTGTTCAACGCGGCTGTGCGGGGGACACAAAGCCGAGAATATCAGCGGCTGTTCAACGCGGCTGTGCGGGGGACACAAAGCCGAGAGCATCACCGCGTCCGAGTTTATATACCGTAAGCAGCGCGTCGCCGGCAGTCATTGCAAACAGGTTGGGACTTCGATCATATGGTCCCGTGTGCCGTAAAATTTAACGACTGGTCAGAAAATACCGCAGAAGCGAATCAGCTCTTTACCCTGTCGTTTCTTCAGATCCCCCATCAGATTTAATGTGGATTCACAAGGCGGCTCATGTAAATGAGGGCTGCTATTAGGGCTGTCTGCGAGCTGTCCATTAATGATTAGAGAAAAAGAAAATAAACATATAATTGGCCATTTATATACATTGGAATTCTTTAGTTTTCGCATACTGCATATTACTCTCCTGTGAGAAATACACATACATATGTGCAGGTGAGAGTGCAGCTAGGGGTTGGAGCACAGGGACATATTTCAATGGAAAACAGCACCTTTCACAACGGTACTTGAAAGCAGTTTCTGGCAATCCAGGGGGAAAAGGGAAGAGTGGAAGAAAGAAAGCCAGGTTACAATGGAGGAGAGGAACCAAAATCCTGGGGGTCCAAGGTCAACTGGATGTCCACCCCCCCCCAAACATTGTAGAAAAAAAGAGAGAATGAACCTGCTTTAATAAAAGCCAGGTATAATCTGTGATCATAGCCAGAGTGCACCAGTGAGGCAGTTCTCCAAGCAGGTCTGTGTCAGTCGGCAGACTATAAGCTCCATAAGTTACACTCGCGACATAACACTTCCATGGGACTGAACCAGCACTCGGTCCGAACATGTGGGAAGGAAGGCAGAACACATGGGTGGTCAGAAGATGCACAGACATGTAACCCTGGCCATGTGCTGCTTCTCACTCAATAACTCCAGTGGACAGGGCAGGCCACACCTGGTCAAAGGTTTGGACACACCTAACCATATAAAGGATTATTTGTACTATTCTCTACATTTTAGATTAATTATAAAGACATCAAACCTATATAATAACACACTGTATATGGGATTATGCACTGACCAAAAAAGAATTGGACAAACAAAGGGGGGGAGCGGTCAATTTGGCAGATGGGGGGGCAGCTCTGTCGTTTGGGATTCAGAAGGTTGCTGGTTCAGATCCCATGGTTGGCAGAGTGATCCCACCACTGGGTCCTTAATTCCAATTGCTTCAGGGACAGGCGGCCCCTACTGGCTCCACTATGGCAGTTCCATGCTGGCCTCCTGGGCTGCTTTTCCAGCTGACCGTAGGGACGTCCCACATATACCTCTGGAAGAAACAAGAGACCACAGCAAAATTTCTCAATTTAAGGTTATGCATCAGTGAATAATACATATATTTTGTAAACTGCAACCTGGTTCTTCTCTGTTTCTCATTAATGAGGGGCTTCTTCCTTGCCTTATTGGACTTCAGTCCTGCTTCTAAGAGTCTGATACGAACTGTCCTAGCAGTGCACTTCACACCTGCACTTAATGTTTCCCATTCCATTGGAAGGTCACTTGATGTGATCCTACGATTTGGATAAGTTGACCGTCATCTCTGCCATTAGAGAGTCGCTTCAGCCCTTTATCTGGCTGCTTTCTGGTCCTTCCCAGTGTCTCCTGCTTCACCTTGTTCTTCTGCACTCCTGGCTTAGAAATTTTGAACCTGGAAGCAACCTGCTGCTCAGCGTAGCCTTCTGCCAGCAGAACCAGGATTAAACCAGGATTTTAAAATGCTGATTGTTTGAAAAATATAGAGCAGTCTATTATTTTTTCCCAGAGCTGTATATTTTGAGCACTTATTGGGCTTTTAGGTCAGGTAACCTGGTCATGTGATGCGACACTATCACTCTCCTTTGTAGGCGGCTTGGCGTGTCCGATCTTTCGACTGGTGCTGTATTTTTAATAATGAGACCTCTGAACCAAAGAGTTTCCTTTGAGTCTTTTTATTTCCAAAGTCATTTCCTGTTGTATGTGATCAATGCATGCTGGCTGTGTGTGTCGTAACGCGGTCTCGCCGAGGCCCGGGCTCCGTGTATGGAGAGGGGTGTCCCCCCATGTACGCCGTCTCGCCGAGGCCCGGGCTCCGTGTATGGAGAGGGGTGTCCCCCCATGTACGCCGTCTCGCCGAGGCCCGGGCTCCGTGTATGGAGAGGGGTGTCCCCCCATGTACGCCGTCTCGCCGAGGCCCGGGCTCTGTGTGTTATGATGGAATAGCGCCTCACCCAGGCTGTCCCCTGCCTTTACCCGTCCTCTTTGGTGGTGTTAAGCATATTTGGTACTGATGTAACAAATAAACTGCTGAAATATAATGCCTTGAGTGAAGAATACCTTCAGATGCCAGAAGTACATGAATACATTAGTTACACCTGCTCTTACTATAAGGACGTTACTCTGTATCTGTATATTTGTTTTTAAATCTGGCGGCTTTGGGGCTGCAGATTAACCTCAGAGAGAAGGAGGTGCTTCCGTTCAGAAAGCCTTTCTGGACAAAGTCTTTGTTAATTAAACGAAACAGATAATTCCCCTGAATCCCAGCCAGCTGTTAGTCTTACGTGGGTAAGGGCCCGGTGATACCTGATGAAGACAGAACGTGCTCATGAAAGGCGTCCATCTTTTGCTGGTTGGTTCAGCACTTGTGTCATCGTGAGCATGTTTCTGGTGGGGTGTATATGAGTACTGATGGAACAGGTGACCCCACCATTCAGCCTTAGCGCCCCTGAGTGTCTCAGCACTGGTGCCTGTGTCCACGCCTCCTGTCTAGTGTTCATGTGCTTCTGTGATCCCCCCACCGCTACTCTTCACAGCCTGTCTCCCTGTCCCCCTGCCCCAATGTCCCCTGTCTCCACACCCTCCACCCTCACCACTTATTCTGTCTCTGCTCCACTTCCATCTCTTGTTTTCCTCATCCTCTTCCCACCTTTCATGTGTTTATTTCTCTATTCTCACCTCTCATTCCCCCATCCTCATCGTTCATTGTTTCATCCTTCTAATTCCGCCTCCCATTCTCTCATCTCCCCATTCTCACCCTTCATTCTCTCATCCCTCCATCCCCACCTCATCCCCTCATCTCCCTTTCCGCCTCCCTGGAGCAACAGAATTATGATCCACATTATACTGTTTCCCTCACTTTCCCTCCCTCTCCGTATCTCTCTCTCTCTCTTTCTCTCTCTCTCTCCCTGAGTCATTCTCTTCACTGAGCACCGGAATCCAACACAGGACATCTGAGCTTCAGGGCACAATCTGTCCCATATATTTTCCAGAAATAAATACATAAAAACCAGCAACATAAAAATGACATTTTGCATAACAAAGAGCCAAAAGGCTCACGCTTTTTCTGGCGTGAGCGGCAAAGCCTCACTGGCCGAGCCAGCCCCTCCCTGCCAGCTCCTCGGGACGTGTGCACCACCTCACGAGCACTTTCTCTTTTAGATGTTTTTTCTTTATGCATGTCTGTCCTCCCACAAAAATTCCCTGGGGCACATGTGAGCCAAAAAAGCATTTCAAACAAACTTTTTTACACTGTAGCAATTTATAGAGATAATCTATGTACAACCATATTCTTCTCTGTAAAATTAATATTAATCCAATATTAACATTAATCCAATTGAGAATCTGTGGTCAGACTTGAAGATTGCTGTTCACAAGCAAAAACCATCCAACACGAAGGAGTTGGAGCCGTTTTGCCTTCAGGAATGAGCAAAAATCCCAGTGGCAAGATGTGGCAAGCTCATAGAGACTTATCCAAAGCGACTTGCAGCTGTAATTGCCGCAAAAGGTGGCTCTACAAAGTACTGACCTTAGAGGGGGTGAACAGTAATGCACACTGAAGTTTTCTGTTATTTTGTCCTGTTTGTTGTTTGCTTCACAGTAAAAAAATAAATACATCTTCAAAGTTGTAGGCATGTTCTGTAAATTAAATGGTGCAAACTGTCAAAAAATCCATTTTAATTCCAGGTTGTGAGTTTGAGGCAACAAAACATGAAAAATGCCAAGGGGGGTTAATACATTTGCAAGGCACTGTACGTGAAGCCCAAGAGTGCTGCAGACTGTGGCAGAAAGTCTGAAAATCAGCAGCTTTTTAATTGAAATTAGCTGATATTTCAGTTTATCAGAGACATCCATTTAGAGCTGCGGGCTGCCTCTCACTGTCACCTGAAGCTGCCTCTCACTGTCGCCTGAAGCTGCCTCTCACTGTCGCCTGAAGCTGCCTCTCACTGTCACCTGAAGCTGCCTCTCACTGTCGCCTGAAACTGCCTCTCACTGTCGCCTGAAGCTGCCTCTCACTGTCACCTGAAGCTGCCTCTCACTGTCACCTGAAGCTGCCTCTCACTGTCGCCAAAAGCTGCCTCTCACTGTCGCCTGAAGCTGCCTCTCACTGTCACCTGAAGCTGCCTCTCACTGTCACCTGAAGCTGCCTCTCACTGTCGCCAAAAGCTGCCAGGTTGGGAGTGATGCAGGTACATATAGCAGCAGCATAAGCTAGGCGGTTAGGTCACAAGGGCTGGTGGTGGCAGGGGGCCATTGTGCTTAGGGATGATGACAGGGAAGCAGACGGCTGTGACAGTCCCACAGTGAGTCCCATTCAGGCTGATCCCGGGTCCAATCAGAATTCAGTATGTTCATGTGAGACCACAGAGGATCCTGAATGGTCTGTGTCTGTCACGCCGACACACACAGTAGGTTGTGTTAAGCAAGTTGTAATTAACACTGTAAGCGAGTGACCTGCTCCTGTAAACAGTGCGAGGTATCCAAACAGACAGCTGTGGGGACACGGCACAGCATTCCATCATCGGGTCCCGAGATCAGGGTCAGCACCCCCAGAGCCAGACGCATGCCCTCTGAACTGATCTGCGCCTCTGCTGTCAGGACGAGGACAACCTCAGTGAAGCAGGGACCAACAGATACCCAAACCAGCAGCAGTGGCACTACCACGCGGCACTAACCCCCAGATACCTTAACACCACG